GATATATATAATTTTTTTTCTTTGAATCCACATTAATAAAAAAGTAAAAAAAATACAATACTAAGAAAAACTGGTGTATAAACTATTTTTACTCAGAAATTGCTAGTAAATTACACAATTAATTACAAAGAAACAGTCAGTGAATTGAACATTTTTTAAAACATTTTGCATTTTTTAATTTTTATAAACTTAAACATTTTGAAGAAAACTCAAATAATATTTTTTTTGTAAAATGTACTCCAATAATCTTTGTTGTATTTACAATTTTGAAAAATATTTTTACAGTGAATCAGATTTTTAAATACTAACCAAAAACATACTGAAATATAGATAATTAAATATAATTTAAATATTTTTTCTGCATAAGAAAGTCTTATAATGAGAATTTGAGGTTAAATGTGCTTCATTGTCATGAAAATAATGTCAAAATGCAAAACATCTTGAAGAAAATTAAGTCTTTTTTAAGACCATTACTGTATGCAAAATTTAATTCTGCATTTCTGTAGCTCAAACAGCAGAGCATTGCGCTCACCAACACCAACAAGATCCAGGGTTTGATTCCCAATAAATGCATGAAGTGATTCAATGCAGTGTAAATCAGTTTGGATAAAAGCATCTGCCAAATGCATAAAAGTAAATGCAATTTCTTTTTCTGATTTTGGGTGAATATGAATGTGACATGTTCTATCTGAAAATAAAAGCAGTTGACTAAAAACCATTTGCAATATTACATTCACTTTCACGTGTCACTGAACCAAACGAAACAGACAAGCTGCTGGACGCCTCGTAAAGGTGAAAGATGGAAATAAAAGCCATTACAAATCACAGAAACTCTCCTGTACATACTGAGAGACAGACACAGACAGAAAGAGATGGGCAGAAATAAAAGGCTTTGTAAATTAGGTTGTATTCAAACATAATCCTCTTTAAATGAAGCAGAAAAACAGACAATCAAACATTCAGAAGAAAAAACACTCCCAAGTGCTTTTTATAGCCAAAGAAGCTTAAACAGAGACGGAGTTAGAGAATCACTGGAAACACGTTAAACACACGTCAGAGATCACACACACACATGCGTGAATAAGAGCATGTTTGTGTGTGTGGACTGAATCAGACAGACGTGAGGAGTGGAGGAGGAACAGGTGTGTGTCTCTGTCTCTGTTGGCCTGCGAGAGGAACTCATGCACAGTTGTGCTAATTGCTACAAAATGAGCAGTTAGCGGCAGGAAGTGTTTGGCACGGCTGGGCTCCGTCTTCAGAGAGGCAGCTCAATGTGACCTTCAGCCATCAGCTGAGCCTCCTCACATACTGACAGCAGAAATATCACGCACAGATGAGGACATAAACACGGAGGAGCTGCACATTCAGCCAAACAGATGGAGATCAGACTACAAAATACAGCCTGAAACTCTTAAAACACTCACTCAATTTCTATTTGGTTTGCCATTTTTATAAATAAAAATATGGGACATTTTAGCAATAAAAATTACATCAGCATTTATAAATATAACAAATATTTGTATTTATTTAAAAATTAAAAAATAAATATAATTGCAAGTGAACAGACTGCAAATTAGTATTTAAAAAAATTGTGTACAATTTGAAAAGTTCTGAAAAAAAAGGGTCCAAATTATGTCATGTTACAATTTTTGGAAATTAATGTGAAAACAGGGTTGCATGCTAAATATAGGACACAGATAAATATTACATTTCTGGTTATTAGAATTTCAAAATTTGTTTGTTTTTTAGCTAATTTATTTATAGTAGTTTTTTCCCACATTAATATTCAATATATTATGTCAACACTATAATTTTAGTAATTAAAAATAATTTTCATATTAGACAGTAAAATATGAAACACGTCTGTTGTTTCTCTCGAGCGTCTTTAATTCTTTAAGGCAAGACACTACAGATGAATATGGTTAAAATGTAAACTAACAGATATCATCATACTTCAGTTGATTAATCACAGCACAGAGACAATTGTATTGTATTACAACTTTTCTAAAATGTTTGAATATACAAACAAGGCATTGTTTAATTATATATGCACTCATTTGCATAGATGTACTACAATAGATGTAGTACAACTATAAACACTTGAATGTGTATTTTGGGTGTTTTCTTTCCACTTCCTAATACATATCTTTAAATAAGATAATTCATATCTTTTAAACAGTTTTTTTCTCCACTTCAGCAGCTCTTACATACAGCAAACTTATTCCTATCTATATTCTGAAGAATTTTACAGAGGTGATTTTGGATTTCTCTTTTTATCACTCCATAAATCAGAAAATACTGTCAACAGACAGCAAAACTTTTTTGGAGTAAAATGTTGTATAAATCAGTGTGAATGACATATCAACAATCCCCTCAGTAAAAACCTTCAGAATATAGAGAGGAATAAAACTGTAAGTTTTGGTGTTTGTAAGTGCTGCTGAAGTGGAGGAGAAAACTTTTAAAGAAACGTAACGCAACTGAAATCTACAAACGCAAATAGATAAAGTGCAACAAAATAACCCTTAAATGTGTATTTTGGGTGTTTTCTTTCCACTAGTCTGAAATGTTATGGAAGCAAAATAGACTAAAATCTCAAAATTGACCAGAACATTAAAAAACACTGGTTTTGCCTGTAGTGTCTCACCCTTATTACTCTTTATCTATTTGCGTCTGTAGTTTTCAATCCAAATCCATATCTTTAAAGAGTTTTTTCTCCACTTCTGCAGCACTCACATACACCAAACTTTACAGTTTTATTACCATCTATATTCTGAAGGTTTTTACTGAGGGGTTTTTGGATTTCTCTTTTTATCACTCCATAAATCAGAAAATACTGTCAACAGACAAAATAAAAAAACATTTTCACCATGTTTTAGGAATACAATGTTGTATAAATCAGTGTGATTTATATATGAACAAACCCCTCAGTAAAAACCTTCAGAATATAGAAAGGAATAAAACTGTAAAGCTTGGTGTATGTAAGTGCTGCTGAAGTGGAGAAAAAACTTTTAAAGATATGGATTGTAATTGAAATGTACAGACACAAATAGATAAAGTGCAACAAAATAAATGCTTAAATGTGTATTTTGGATGTTTTCCTTCCACTAGTCTAAAAGAAGACATATTATTCGACTAAATTTGATCAATGCATGAAAAAACAATGTCCTATAGCATCTCAGCTTAAAAAAGTCATGTTAATATTCATAATTTGGTCTAAACCTACAGCTGAGAGCTATCAGGCTCCGCGTGTCTGAAGGAGATCTGAGCTTCTGTCATCACATTTCTAATTCTACAAAGTGCTGACGGAAAGTACAGAACGCTGAGCCAGAAAGAGAGAATGAAGAGAGGAAGAAACGTTTAACACAGAGGTACTGAAGAGTGCTCATTAATATTCTGTGATGAATGTCTTCACATTAGCGTGTGAGTTCAGCTCGCGCTCTTATCTTCAGTCAATAATGAAGCAGCACTGAGAAACACTGAGCAGCCCTTCAGTCTGGAGCCGATCGATGGCTGAACGCTGCTGTTCGCCGCTGATAACACTGTTTACACCGCATTTGAGCCGCTGTCCGGCTAACACACGCGTGACTAAAGCGCTTCCCTCCAGATGCCTGAGTACCACACTGCATTATGGGCTGTCTGTTCCTGGACGACACTGGAAGAACCTCCCACAAGACCCTAGCAACCGGTGAAACCCGCACACTCACATGATGTGGGAGTTTGAGCTGAAACATGTGATGCTCAGGGTGAATCCCTGCAGGTAAATCACACTAAAGCTTCATACACCCACATCTGACACAGCAAAACAACCTGACGAGATATTACAAAGATCAGAGATTCTTCAGCATAAAACACACATACATCAGATGCAAAACCCGCAATCAAAATCACATGAACTAACCAGAAGAGCCGGGATTGTGAAAAACACACAATCACACCAGATCTGCCATTTCTCATAGACAGTACAGATATTCAATGAGATCTCAACAACTTCTCAGACCATCTGAAGTCTGCAATCACATCAAAGATCTCCATATAAACTCCAACATTTCTTATCAAATGATCTGCGTTGCTGTTCACACTAATTATAGATCTAAATCAATCAGGGGCCTCGGCACACTTACAAGATGACTGAACATGATCTAAAACAAGGCAAAATAAGCTTTAAAATAAACTAAAATAGACTAAAATAGATTCAAAGTTCAAGACGAAAAATACATTTTTCTTTTCCAATATCTTAAGAACTATATATATATAAAATACATTATAATAATAATAAATTTTATATCTCAAGAACAATACAGTATATATATATAATTTATTTTTTAACTAAAAAAAATATACAGTGGAGAAGTCATTTAAATTTGTTATTGAACTCTGAAGAACATTCAGTTATTTTATCTGCATGGATTCAAATGTGATGGACATCATATTTTTATAGATTTGATTTATTTATTTTTTATGTTTTATATAAAATATTAATAAAATATTTAAAAAGTCATGGAAAATAATATAATCTTAAAAATACATGGACATTTCTATAACAAATATACATTTATCTAGTTATGTCAATCTCTAAATATATGTTCTTGAGTAGAAATTGCCATTTGTGAGTTAATCACAAACAAGTGGAGAAGTCACATTCTGAACGTTGAAGAACATTTAGTTACAAAAATAATTCCAAATTAATCATTTTAATTTCAATATAATTATTTTATTTTATTATTTATATATACTGACAGTTTCCTAGTTTTTGTAAATAAAACAGTCTGAAAACAAGCAAAGTGTTTCAGATGAACTGAACTAAACTCTGAACTGCATGACAACTAGTGATTCATTTGGGTCTGTTTTCATTCCTTCTCCTGAGTCTCCTAAAGAGCAACCAGTGAGAAACACACACACTCTCTCTCTCTCACACACACACACACACACACACACACACTCTCTCACACACACGCACACACACTCTCTTACCTCGGCGCAGCAGGAAGGGTTTGGTGTAGTCCCAGCTGTCGTTGTCGTTTCTGATGACATTGAGGCGTGAGGGCTAGAATGAGAGAGCACAACGGCACTGCATGTGTGTTAGATCCAGCGCTGTGTGTGTGTGAGTGTGTGTGTGTGTGTGAACGCTGCACATTTACCCGAGCGTATTCGATTTTCAGCGTGCAGCAGCCAGCATAGATGTCAGCCCCATTGAGGGCGGCTTTGGCCTTCTGAGCATTCTGGATGGATTCAAACGTGACGGCCGTCAAGGAAAAAACTCGGCAACACACACTTACAACACAACACAACAATGAATGTCGTGTTTGACAGCACACACATAAGCATCAGACACCTGGGGGCTGATGGGAGTTCAGATATGAGTGTAAACAGCATGTAAACGGACTGCTGAAGCTCCCGGTGGAACACGCTTGTCCCGTTAGTGCCTCATTCCCGTGTGTTGCCGGGATACATGCATATTTAATGAGCATGTGTAATGTGTGTCTGGGGAGTGAACGAACATCCAAAAGCACAAGCTTAATTCAAACAAACCCAATGTCTTAACGAAAGACCATGAAGGTCATGTGGAGGTTTAGGGATGTAAATATCATCAGCTCATCATCAGACTACAGACGTGAAGCATTCCCTTTAAACCAGATTTAAAAATGCATTTTCAGATCTTTATATTATGTTTCTAGAGGGTAGTTTATGAAGGTATGGATCAAAAAAGTTTAACTATTTGCAAAAATAATTTCTGATCCTCATTTTCATTCTGTCACAAACACTTCATTTGAGTTCGAGTCAGATAAAATAAACCAATGCAACTGCATGTCATATTCATGTCATAATTACTTTGCATGTAAAATTAGTGCTAACTTGTCTTTATTTGAAAAAATATGAACTCTATCTATCTGTCTATCTATATCTTAGTGTTGTCAATCGATTAAAAAAATTAACTAATTAATCACACATTTTTCTGAAATTATCGCACCTAACATTAAAGTTTTTAAATATACTTTTATATTGCAATAATTTCACATTCAATTTTCAAATTAATGTATAAACAACAAAGAACATTATATTTTTAATATTTCTTTAATGGCATCTTTAATGTCTCTAGGATCTGCAGAATCATGGGTAATGTAGTTTTTCACCAGGAATTCTGCTCTTGAGCAAGATTATTTAGAAAATAAGTTGAAATAATGCTGCCTGACAGTTTATTAAACCATCGATTAACAGCCGCGGAAATCATAACTGGTCTTTAACTGTTTATGGTTAAGCTATTGTTCAAAATCACTCTCTCTATGGAGAAAACGAACATAATTTGTGCGTCCAGATCCAGACGGTGGCGCTCCGTTTCAGAGTGTTATATTACCATTGTTTTACTCACTGTTACTTGCTTTAATGGCGGATGTTGACGACGATCATCGTGTCAGGACCACTTCTCACATATCGATGAGGACACGAAAGGTTCAGTAGACTTTTTGCTTTAAATGAATGGTTATTGTCATGGTTAAACAACAAAGAACATTATATTTTTAATATTTCTTTAATGGCATCTTTAATGTCTCTAGGAAATAGTTTTTTTTTTCTAATATTTAACCATTGACTAGCCATTCAACATTACAGTATAACTGAGAGCTATAAATTTGAACATTTATTAGACTACAGTACTTAAAATAACTTCTAATTTAAGTGAACTTAAAACAATCTTCACATAAACCCATTATAATAAATGTCATATTTACCTGTGCCCTTCAGCAAGTAGGAAATATACAGAAATTGAATAAAGTTATCAAGAACTAAATTCTAATTTAAATAAAGATGAATCCTTAAACCTACAGAAGTGACTGATTTGCTCTTTTTTCTTTTGTTCTTTGATGAACAGTCGTCACAGCAGCTGGTTATGAGGTTATTTTGTCTGCTTTAAGAGCTGCTGCTGCTGAACATGATGCAGATCTGACACGCATCGTAGTTTCTCATAACTCTTTACCTTTTCTGACTCACTTCAGCTCTTAAAGTCTCTAGAGTGAGCTGAGGAGAGGGAGACAGTGCTGCTGCTGCTCCAGGACAGTTTTCAAAACCATTTCAGAGACATGTTCTTAAATCTGACTCATATAACAAATACTCACATGCACAGTTTTAAGGCAGCTTTAATTGCCTGTTTGGTAACTTCACGACTTAACTGACGCATTTGTGCGTGCAATTGCAATTTTTTGCCTCTCTCCTGATCTCTGTGCTCACATACTGTATTTTAATGCAACCAAATTCTGTTTCCATTCATATATTTTTGTTTCTGTTGTCAGAAACAAAAAATCTCTTTATTTTACAAATGCATTTTTTTTGTTATCAGATTCAAGTTATTTTTCATATTTATTAATTTTAAATTATTTATTTCTAATGTATTAAATATTATATTCTATATTAATACATATAACATTCTAAACTTCTATACTGATAAATAGAATATTATACATTTTAATATTATATTTATAATATTAAATATTATACATTTAATTTTTGCATGCACTTTAAATTAAATATTTTTTCTTTAAATTAACTTTAAATAGTGTATCTTTAAATTAGCTATTCTGAACTTGAATTAGTGAATGCGAGCATTAGCAGCAGAAGGATATTCCACCATGGCCTGGATCCCGTTCCTCTTGAAGATCACGATCCGCAGCACGCTTCCGATCGGGTTACAGACCGTGTACAAAACATCCTAAAGAGGAAGAGCAGAAGCTGTTGAGAGCGTCCCGTCGGGAGGCTGACGTGAGTGAGGAGACGGGGTTTACCGTAGTGATGGGGTAGAGCGGGTTCTGGATGGACAGCAGCAGCACTTTGTTCCCGCTGTTGGGGTCGTCGGCGTTGGTGGGCCGCGTGATGCGTTTGCTGGTGGAGTAGTTGAAGTAGGCCTGCTGTCCTGCGATGTAGACGGGCTCCTGCGAGCCACACGCCACGCAGCGGTCAGCGCTCTGAACCTCCTCGAACTCCACCAGAGCCTGCCGCTTGAACGGCATCATCATCACGTAACTGCAGGAGAGCAGCAGAACTCAGACTAAAACCAGTTCTGTTACGCTGAACAACACAGTCAACTGAAATAATAACATTTAACTCATTCATAAATAACAAATTCATGAAAATGCGCAACAAAATTAATAAAAATTTAAAGGGAAAAAAACTAAATTGAAAGGGAAAACAGAAAATTTAAAAATCAATTCAAATTCAAAACATTAACAAAAACTGTAATAGTTGATATCTAAAACCAATAAAAAATACTTGAAATAAAAGAAACATTAACTGAAATAAAATAAAATAAAACATTAAAAAACTTATTTTTAACTTAATTTATTTCAGCTAGTTGCCAAGGCAACATTTCTCATTTTCATTTTGTTTAATTCGATGTAGTAAAATAACTAAAACTAAATAAACTAATAAGCTAAAACTAATAAATAAAAATTAATAAAATGACAAAAACACTCAACAAATTGACAAAAACTTTAATTTAAGTAAAAACCATAAATATCAAAATAAAATCTAATTCTAAATATTAACAAAATCTATATTATATAACTAAAACCGTAAAAATACCTGAAATAAAATAAACATTAACTGAAATAAAACAAAAACTTAACTTGAAGTACTAAAAAAACTAAAACAAATAAATAAAATGCAAAAAAAAACAAAAACAACTATACAGGCATATTAAAATAATAATAATAATAATAATAATGACTTAATTTAGTAACAAAATCGCTAAAGCTTTAACTAAAATTAAAGTGAAAATAGAAAATCCAAAAATAAAATGTACTTCAAAATACTAACAAAAACTATAATAGTATCTCAATGCTAAAATAACACTGATTGACTTAAAAATTCCCTTATGTGCAGCAATCTAAATTTTTATTTGAGTGTTGATTATTAAATTAAATTGATTAAGTAATTGATTATAAAATATACTTTATTTTTGGTTTTAGTTTTGGCGATCAGCTAAATGAAAACTTTAATTTCGGAATTGGCAAGAAATTAATTTCAGTGCATCACTAATAATTTGAACAATGAACAAAAACAGCATCAAACATGAATAAAACTAACAAGAAATCTTCAAATCAGTTCATGAAGGAACCGGAGTCAAATGTTATTGCTGTCACACTCGGTCTGTGGTCACGAGATTCAGACTATAAATACACTCATATGACCTCCATTCATGTCCCCCAGACACACACACACACACACACACTTCCTGTTCCTGTGCATCTGATCCGTGTCTTTCCTGATATAGCTGAGGTCAAACACGCGCTCAGATCTTCCCATGATCCTCTCTGAGCTTCTGTGAGTGTAAACGTCAGAAAATAATCAAACACAGGAACTGATGAAGCTTGAACTATCATTCAGTCGACAGGGACTTTCATGTGGTTCGATGAGATTGGGTTAAAGCCATTATCTGTTCATTCATTATGAGAGAAGAGCATTCAATGAATCTCTGAATCACAGCAAATGAAGGCATCACTTTACCAGATGTTTCCGAATTTCTCCAAGGCCTCGACCAGATCGGCCTCCACCACGGACTCACACAGTCCTCGCACGTGAACGACGGGAGACGGAGCGATGCGGTGCGTCTCAGAGCTGCTGTCCTGAGAACAGAGAGAGAAAACCAGCTTCACGACGCAGCAGCTTTTATCTGATGACAGCACAGTACACAATGACTACAGTAACATGAGAAGAGCTGAAACACAAAGACCCAGAAAACTTTCTTTGTTTACTTGCATTAACCATTGTCAGAGAACCATGAACATGTGAATGTGCTAATAATTTATGAAAATATTAACTCAAAATATTAGAAGGACTTCAATATAATATCTGAATCCCTGCTATAAACCATCATACTGACCATCTGCGTCACATTTTACAGTACGGAATGGTTTACCGCGGTATTTACATGCTATACTTCACAGAACACCATGACACTGTCTGGTTAGCTTCATTCACAGTGACTTTCTCACACAGCTGAACAAGTTCGTTTGGAGAACAGCGACTAAACACATTCAGACGAGAGAACAGCCTGTGAGGAAGAGACAGATGACGGACGTCCTGCTGTGATGATGATGATGATGAAACCGCAGCAGCATTAGAGCTGCTGTCCACTGTGTCAGTGTGATGGTCCTGATGCAGCGGCGCCTGTCAATCATCTCATCACCGCCTGTCTGTCTGATCCTACTGCACGTACAGTAAGGTTTTTTTAAATAAATGAATGCTTTTATTCATCAAGGCTGCATTAAATTGATCAAAAGTGCCAGTAAAGACATTTATAATGTTACAAAAGTTTTATATTTCAAATAAATGCTGTTCTTTTAAACTTTCTTTTCATCAAACAGTCTTGAAAAATATGTATCATAGTTTCCCAAAAAGCCAAACCCTAACCCTAACCATATAGTAAGTACATGTAGTTCATTAATATTACTCAGTACTTAAATGTATAATTACAGTGTAACAAAGACACCTTAAAATAAAGTGTAACCCAAAAGATTTTTATTTCGAATAAATGCTGTTCTTTTGAACTTTCTATTCATCTGTGAATCCTGAAAAATAAAATGCATCACGATTTCCACAAAAATATTGTGCAGCACAACTGTTTTCAACATTGATAATAATCAGAAATGTTTCTTGAGCAGCAAATCAGCATATTAGAATGATTTCTGAAGATCATGTGACACTGAAGACTGGAGTAATGATGCTGAAAATTCAGCTGCGCATCACAGAAATAAATGACAGTTTAACAGAGATTCACATAAAAAAACTGCTATTTTAAATTGTAATATTTCAAAAAATTTTTACTTAAAAATCTTTGACTTGAAAATATGTGCTGTTGGTGCAGTTCTATTAGAAACCGGCAAGTATTCTTGTGCTTCAGGGGCAGATAAATTTGTGTATCATCCGTATTACTATAATAATAAGTGTTTCTTTTCCGAAATAGAACCTAGGGGAAGCGTTTGAAGAAAAACAATATAGGGCCCAAAACAGAGCCCTGTGGGACACCACAAGTCAGGAGAACAACGCCTGAGTGTTACTCTCCTACAATGACCCAGAAACTTCTGTTTTAAGGGGGTCATGACATGAGAAACCAAATTTCCCTTGATCTTTTGACACAGAAGAGGTCTTTGTATGCTTACTACATCATGATGCTGGCTTTGCCAAAATACTTTTGCTCAAAGATCAGGCTGTGCCAACTGTTCTGGACCCGTCAAGGACACTGCAAACTATAAGTAACGTATTTCTTGTAAAAACTATTTTTAAAATGGTAATGCATAGGCAATGATGTTAGCCAATCATAAAAGTGGACGGTTACACTAACCTCTTAAAGGGAAAACACCCCAAAACCAACTGTTTCAGTCAGAGGATGAGAAACAGGGTGGAAAAAGGTCATAAATCACTCAATTTTGTATGTTCTTCGTCCAAAAAACTTATTATAATTACACCTCAGGGAACATCATAAAATAATTTAAAAAACATGTCATGACCCCTTTAAGATACAACTGAAAGCAACTTAGAGCAGTTCCTCTAATGCCCACAAACTGCTCTAACCGAGAAAGAAGAACATGATGGTCAACTGTGTTGAATGCAGCACTTAAAGTGCCCCTAATATGGATTTTTGAAAATTACCTTTCATGCAGTGTGCAACACAGCTCTAAATGAATGAAAACATCCTGCAAAGTTTTAAATCTGAAAGTGCACCGTGTATAAAGTTATTGTCGCTCAAAAGAAAGGGTCGACTCTGAATCATTGAAACGAGTCGTATTTAAAACGAATCCCAAGCCATTTCATGTTGACGTCAACATGAAACATTAGCATATTGCCCGCCCACTTGTTGGTCTTTTCACGTTGGTCTGAATGAAAATGCAAATTCATTCTTTGCCACTAGGTGCCGCTTTTGGAGCGGTAAAAATAGCGGTTTCCCCGGTAACGCTGTACAAAAAGCAGCACTGCGCTCACAAACGCTGCTTTATCAGGCTTTACAGGAGAGATGAAATGAAAATGAGACCAATCACCGCAGATTAGCGTCACGCAAAGGAGGGGTTTGGAAAAATGAATCGTTGAGCAAGTAAGATAAAAATAAATGCATATTATAAGACAATGAAGGTGTTTTTTGACCTTGCATGCACGTCAACCTGTTGTTGAGAACTCCCAAAACCAAATTATGAACCTTTCATTACCCATAATAGGAGCACTTCAAATCTAAAAGTACCAACACCGCAGAATAAGTGGCTATTAAAAGATAATTTAAAACTTTTCTAATAGTTTTGTAACACCTAAGATTAGTATGAATGGAAGCGTCTCCAGGTGTGTCGCTCAGCTGTGGGGTTGTGGAACAGCAGAAGTTAAAAATGTACGCATTGTTATATTTGTGGATTTCTTCTATTTTAAAGGTCTAATGACTGCAAGTTCAAGTGGTGCACAGGATTTATATAGACATAGATATAGATAATATCTTATAGATATATCCTAGCGTGAGGTTTCTAAATACATCATAGAGGGAGAGACGGGAACATGAGGATGAACATGTGTCAATTAAATCATACTGTGTCAATACTAGTATTGCCAATGTTAGCTGTTTATTTATAAAATCTATCATTTTCATTTTCTCCATTAATTCTCACTTGAATCACTTAATAACTAATCAACCATATGAAGGTGCATCTATCTAGAAAAATCAAATGAAGTGAAGCACATGTCCCATGTTAAACACATGTGAAACCACACATGCATCTGCATGTTGCTCTTATTTTGCAAGCATTAAACTCTTTCCATTTTCTGCTTTGCAAAACTCCTGATTGTTTGTCGACCACAGAGATCAACAGACGAACGATTTGAACTTTCATAACAGCACTGCCATCTCAAGCCAACGGCAGAAAAACACCTTCAGTCTCACGCTCACCATCAAATCATGAAGAACGTCCGGCTGATTCCATCAAATCATCATCTAATAAAGGACAGAGATGAGCGCACACCTGTCTGTCCTCATATAGAGCAGTCTGTCTGGATTATTGCTTACAGCTGCTGTCTGTCTCTAACACCCGTCTCACGCAGAATGAAGTGAGAACACAGAGAAACTGTGTCATTTGAGCGACGAGGCCTGATGTCTGTCATTTACTGCATGAAGATCATAATGAGGTTTGAGGTGAACTACTAACTTTAAACCCGTCAGTGCCAAAGCAGCATCTGCGGTTGGAAAATGACCTGCAAAAACGCGATGCAGTGCTCCTGCTGAAGAATCACATCACAATAGAAAAAAAACACTTAAAATAGAGCTTCACAAACATCAAACCACTTCCACTGCAGACGGATGACGAGCACCTTGAGTCACAAACCAGATGACAGCAAGACAAACATCAGCGCCATCTTACACACATTCATCTTCATCCACTGCATTCATGCATTTAACTGGGAATCGAACCCGACCTCGGCATTGCTGGCGCTGTGCTCTACTCTCTGTGAAAGTACTGATAGTCAGTGATGATTTTACTCAATTTAAAATCCAATGATCTGGCCAAAAACATACTTGAGTGAAAGAAAAACAAAAAAGTACAATTTAAAATTGTACTTCGGTATTAAAAAAATAAACGTAACCAGTCAAAACCCATAATTAATAATATAAAAAAATACATACAATATAAAATTAAATTATTAATTAAAATGTATTAATTTTAATAATACTTAATATTAAAAATAAGCTGAAATATATTCATATATAAATTTACTTAAAAACTGTAGTTAAGTATTTAAAAAGTAACCTCTCAAAATTATTATTTAATAACATAAATAATACACAATATAAAAAAATAAAATAATATACAATTAATAATAATTAAAATTAAACTATAAAACAACTAAAAAACATACTTAAGTGAAAGTTTAAAAAATTCTAATTTAAACTGTACTTAAGTATTATAAAAAAGAAACAACCTCTCAAAAATCCTATTTAATAATATAATATGCAATAGAAAAGCATAAAAATAATAGAATATTATAAATTAAAATGTATTATTAATATTATTAATAGTAAATAAAATCAAAAATCTGAAATATATTAATATAAAGTAAAGTAAATGTAATGATAAATGGTAATGATTAACGTAAATTTTAAATTGTACTGAAATATTAAAAGCAACCTCCCAAAGATTGTTGTTTAAGCATTTTAATCATCTGAATGAATTGAATAAAAATGTCTTTGACATTTCAAGTCTTCAAATGTCAGACAGACTTAAAACGAAATGCAACAGAAGTCAAAAACATTCATCTGTATTGCATGTTTACAGAAAACAACAATTAAATAAAAAAACATCACATTTTCTGCAAAAATTCAACAAGCATTGCTTATGTTGAAATATAGAAGTTAAAAAAATTGTTTTTAGGTACTGTGATGAAGAATACAAATATTCAGTTAAAACTGCATGTGAGTAAATAATAAATCTACTAAAATAACCCAAAATGATGCTTAAGTACAGTGATCAAGTAAAAGTATTCACACCTCTGCTCAAACATAGTTGGTTTAGTTGTTTGTGTGTATCTGTGTCAGGTCAGACGGGTTTCCTGTTGGAATCACACTGATATCACACACCTGACTTTAATTACACAA